ACTGAACTGAACTGAACTGAACTGAACTGAACTGAACTGAACTGAACTGAACTGAACTGAACTGAACTGAACTGAACTGAACTGAACTGAACTGAACTGAACTGAACTGAACTGAACTGAACTGAACTGAACTGAACTGAACTGAACTGAACTGAACTGAACTGAACTGAACTGAACTGAACTGAACTGAACTGAACTGAACTGAACTGAACTGAACTGAACTGAACTGAACTGAACTGAACTGAACTGAACTGAACTGAACTGAACTGAACTGAACTGAACTGAACTGAACTGAACTGAACTGAACTGAACTGAACTGAACTGAACTGAACTGAACTGAACTGAACTGAACTGAACTGAACTGAACTGAACTGAACTGAACTGAACTGAACTGAACTGAACTGAACTGAACTGAACTGAACTGAACTGAACTGAACTGAACTGAACTGAACTGAACTGAACTGAACTGAACTGAACTGAACTGAACTGAACTGAACTGAACTGAACTGAACTGAACTGAACTGAACTGAACTGAACTGAACTGAACTGAACTGAACTGAACTGAACTGAACTGAACTGAACTGAACTGAACTGAACTGAACTGAACTGAACTGAACTGAACTGAACTGAACTGAACTGAACTGAACTGAACTGAACTGAACTGAACTGAACTGAACTGAACTGAACTGAACTGAACTGAACTGAACTGAACTGAACTGAACTGAACTGAACTGAACTGAACTGAACTGAACTGAACTGAACTGAACTGAACTGAACTGAACTGAACTGAACTGAACTGAACTGAACTGAACTGAACTGAACTGAACTGAACTGAACTGAACTGAACTGAACTGAACTGAACTGAACTGAACTGAACTGAACTGAACTGAACTGAACTGAACTGAACTGAACTGAACTGAACTGAACTGAACTGAACTGAACTGAACTGAACTGAACTGAACTGAACTGAACTGAACTGAACTGAACTGAACTGAACTGAACTGAACTGAACTGAACTGAACTGAACTGAACTGAACTGAACTGAACTGAACTGAACTGAACTGAACTGAACTGAACTGAACTGAACTGAACTGAACTGAACTGAACTGAACTGAACTGAACTGAACTGAACTGAACTGAACTGAACTGAACTGAACTGAACTGAACTGAACTGAACTGAACTGAACTGAACTGAACTGAACTGAACTGAACTGAACTGAACTGAACTGAACTGAACTGAACTGAACTGAACTGAACTGAACTGAACTGAACTGAACTGAACTGAACTGAACTGAACTGAACTGAACTGAACTGAACTGAACTGAACTGAACTGAACTGAACTGAACTGAACTGAACTGAACTGAACTGAACTGAACTGAACTGAACTGAACTGAACTGAACTGAACTGAACTGAACTGAACTGAACTGAACTGAACTGAACTGAACTGAACTGAACTGAACTGAACTGAACTGAACTGAACTGAACTGAACTGAACTGAACTGAACTGAACTGAACTGAACTGAACTGAACTGAACTGAACTGAACTGAACTGAACTGAACTGAACTGAACTGAACTGAACTGAACTGAACTGAACTGAACTGAACTGAACTGAACTGAACTGAACTGAACTGAACTGAACTGAACTGAACTGAACTGAACTGAACTGAACTGAACTGAACTGAACTGAACTGAACTGAACTGAACTGAACTGAACTGAACTGAACTGAACTGAACTGAACTGAACTGAACTGAACTGAACTGAACTGAACTGAACTGAACTGAACTGAACTGAACTGAACTGAACTGAACTGAACTGAACTGAACTGAACTGAACTGAACTGAACTGAACTGAACTGAACTGAACTGAACTGAACTGAACTGAACTGAACTGAACTGAACTGAACTGAACTGAACTGAACTGAACTGAACTGAACTGAACTGAACTGAACTGAACTGAACTGAACTGAACTGAACTGAACTGAACTGAACTGAACTGAACTGAACTGAACTGAACTGAACTGAACTGAACTGAACTGAACTGAACTGAACTGAACTGAACTGAACTGAACTGAACTGAACTGAACTGAACTGAACTGAACTGAACTGAACTGAACTGAACTGAACTGAACTGAACTGAACTGAACTGAACTGAACTGAACTGAACTGAACTGAACTGAACTGAACTGAACTGAACTGAACTGAACTGAACTGAACTGAACTGAACTGAACTGAACTGAACTGAACTGAACTGAACTGAACTGAACTGAACTGAACTGAACTGAACTGAACTGAACTGAACTGAACTGAACTGAACTGAACTGAACTGAACTGAACTGAACTGAACTGAACTGAACTGAACTGAACTGAACTGAACTGAACTGAACTGAACTGAACTGAACTGAACTGAACTGAACTGAACTGAACTGAACTGAACTGAACTGAACTGAACTGAACTGAACTGAACTGAACTGAACTGAACTGAACTGAACTGAACTGAACTGAACTGAACTGAACGCTTCATCCAGCAGCTGTCAAATTTGGCATACCTATATTCTTACTCCATTACACTTCGCATTGTTTAAAATTCCGATTTATCTACATCAATTTATACTTTCCATCGGTCAGCTTAGTGATAATGGTTTGTGACGGAAATTGCCTTACAAGATGTTGAACTACTGAAAACCATGTTCCGGGATGAACGTCCAATTTAAGGAAAAGAACGAAGGTGCTGTTGGTGTGAGCATCACATTACCCCGAAAGATCATTTACTGGACATTCAACTAAGGGCACTTTTGAGACTGAGGCTCGCCTTACATGACGCCGTGGGTGAGTGCATTGGCTAGTAATGTATGCACATTTTTGCACACCCTTATTTCAGGGCATCACGAGATCAACTTGCCTGCTGAATTGTGAGGCAGTGCGTCCGGAATTGATCGAATACTTCCTTGAAACACATGAGCTCATCCCTCACAAGCAAGCTCTTTAACGTTGGCTTATGGTGGGTCGTCACATCCACGACGATGTCGCGAAAGGTATCCCTGAGAACGTGACCAAGCTGGAAGAAGCGAGAAGAATATTTGTGGGAGGTAGTACAGAGCCTGTTACAGATTTCTTGCGCATCTTTACGAATCACGTTGGATTTTTGGATGGCTTCAAGAAAGGGCCGATAAAATATTGGACTGATGGCGTTCACCTGCTCTAATACATTCTCAATAACTATTACAAAACACACAAATAGACTCTTACTCAAAACGACATTTATCGTGCATTCATTTCCTTTGTAGACCGACCGGATAAGAAAAATGAAAATACACACCTGAAGTGCGACTGAACTGAACTGAACTGAACTGAACTGAACTGAACTGAACTGAACTGAACTGAACTGAACTGAACTGAACTGAACTGAACTGAACTGAACTGAACTGAACTGAACTGAACTGAACTGAACTGAACTGAACTGAACTGAACTGAACTGAACTGAACTGAACTGAACTGAACTGAACTGAACTGAACTGAACTGAACTGAACTGAACTGAACTGAACTGAACTGAACTGAACTGAACTGAACTGAACTGAACTGAACTGAACTGAACTGAACTGAACTGAACTGAACTGAACTGAACTGAACTGAACTGAACTGAACTGAACTGAACTGAACTGAACTGAACTGAACTGAACTGAACTGAACTGAACTGAACTGAACTGAACTGAACTGAACTGAACTGAACTGAACTGAACTGAACTGAACTGAACTGAACTGAACTGAACTGAACTGAACTGAACTGAACTGAACTGAACTGAACTGAACTGAACTGAACTGAACTGAACTGAACTGAACTGAACTGAACTGAACTGAACTGAACTGAACTGAACTGAACTGAACTGAACTGAACTGAACTGAACTGAACTGAACTGAACTGAACTGAACTGAACTGAACTGAACTGAACTGAACTGAACTGAACTGAACTGAACTGAACTGAACTGAACTGAACTGAACTGAACTGAACTGAACTGAACTGAACTGAACTGAACTGAACTGAACTGAACTGAACTGAACTGAACTGAACTGAACTGAACTGAACTGAACTGAACTGAACTGAACTGAACTGAACTGAACTGAACTGAACTGAACTGAACTGAACTGAACTGAACTGAACTGAACTGAACTGAACTGAACTGAACTGAACTGAACTGAACTGAACTGAACTGAACTGAACTGAACTGAACTGAACTGAACTGAACTGAACTGAACTGAACTGAACTGAACTGAACTGAACTGAACTGAACTGAACTGAACTGAACTGAACTGAACTGAACTGAACTGAACTGAACTGAACTGAACTGAACTGAACTGAACTGAACTGAACTGAACTGAACTGAACTGAACTGAACTGAACTGAACTGAACTGAACTGAACTGAACTGAACTGAACTGAACTGAACTGAATGAAACAGAAGTGAAATGAACTCAACTGAAGTGAACTGAATTAAACAGAGGTGAACTGAACTGAAATGAAATGAACTGAATTGAATTCAGGCAGCTTCATCCAGCAGCTGTCAAATTTGGCATACCTATATTCTTACTCCATTACACTTCGCATTGTTTAAAATTCCGATTTATCTACATCAATTTATACTTTCCATCGGTCAGCTTAGTGATAATGGTTTGTGACGGAAATTGCCTTACAAGATGTTGAACTACTGAAAACCATGTTCCGGGATGAACGTCCAATTTAAGGAAAAGAACGAAGGTCCGTTTGGTGTGAGCATCACATTACCCCGAAAGATCATTTACTGGACATTCAACTAAGGGCACTTTTGAGACTGAGGCTCGCCTACCTGACGCCACATTACCCCGAAAGATCATTTACTGGACATTCAACTAAGGGCACTTTTGAGACTGAGGCTCGCCTTACATGACGCCGTGGGTGAGTGCATTGGCTAGTAATGTATGCACATTTTTGCACACCCTTATTTCAGGGCATCACGAGATCAACTTGCCTGCTGAATTGTGAGGCAGTGCGTCCGGAATTGATCGAATACTTCCTTGAAACACATGAGCTCATCCCTCTTGGACAAGCTCTTTAACGTTGGCTTATGGTGGGTCGTCACATCCACGACGATGTCGCGAAAGGTATCCCTGAGAACCAAGCCAAGCTGGAAGAAGCGAGAAGAATATTTGTGGGAGGTAGTACAGAGCCTGTTACAGATTTCTTGCGCATCTTTACGAATTGGATTTTTGTGCAGCCTTTGCCAAGCGATTTCGTGTTCTCCCTCGGTTGCGGCCTGCATCATGCGTCGAGACTTTGAAAACAAATGCGCCTTGCAAGAGGGCTTTCTATCTGCAGAATTCGGCTGGAACCAGGGAAACAATTGAGCAACACCTATTGTTAACAGGAACTCTGTCAATGACGATTGAAAGAATTGACTTCCTAGATGATTCGGTTGCCAGGGCAACGCCGATTACTGACAAAATTCATTCTTCTGTACATTAGTTTGGAGTACGCAGAACATCACTAAACGTTTCATGGGTTTTGCTGAATATCTGAAACGGGGCCTTAACTCTCATGTGTAGTTTTATGCCGTGAACAAATCCAACAAAACTCGTTGATGCAGCAACCATTCCGTTGCAGAGTTTACCAGGTGATAATTTCTCTGCTCGTTTCATGGTCAGCGGTAAACACCATGTTCCGTCGGAGTGTGTAACATAAAATCGACGAATAATTGCAATCGGTGAAGTGCTTGTCATCGACATCAGCTCGATTGTCACTGACCATGCTAGAGTCAGTCATCACACGCTCGACGTGGTTAACCTACGATTCGCTCGCTCTGCTGTGTTTATGTAAATTGGTCGGTATTCATTCAAAAACGTCCCTATCTATGCAGCCGTCCGTCTGTCTGATAGGTTTTCGACATCAGCTCGATTATCACCGAGCATTCTGGAGTCAGTCATCACACGCTCGATGTGTTTGATCTACAATTGGTTCGCTGCGCTGTATTCATGTAGTTTGGTCGCTGTTCGTCTAAAAACGTGCCTATCTATATGTCCTTCTGTTTGTTTGTCTGTCTATTTGTCTTCCATCCGCCTGTCAGTCAGACTTTCTGTCTGACTGTCGGTCAGTCGGTTTATTTATCTATCTATCTATCTATCTATCTATCTATCTATCTATCTATCTATCTATCTATCTATCTATCTATCTATCTATCTATCTATCTATCTATCTATCTATCTATCTATCTATCTATCTATCTATCTATCTATCTATCTATCTATCTATCTATCTATCTATCTATCTATCTATCTATCTATCTATCTATCTATCTATCTATCTATCTATCTATCTATCTATCTATCTATCTATCTATCTATCTATCTATCTATCTATCTATCTATCTATCTATCTATCTATCTATCTATCTATCTATCTATCTATCTATCTATCTATCTATCTATCTATCTATCTATCTATCTATCTATCTATCTATCTATCTATCTATCTATCTATCTATCTATCTATCTATCTATCTATCTATCTATCTATCTATCTATCTATCTATCTATCTATCTATCTATCTATCTATCTATCTATCTATCTATCTATCTATCTATCTATCTATCTATCTATCTATCTATCTATCTATCTATCTATCTATCTATCTATCTATCTATCTATCTATCTATCTATCTATCTATCTATCTATCTATCTATCTATCTATCTATCTATCTATCTATCTATCTATCTATCTATCTATCTATCTATCTATCTATCTATCTATCTATCTATCTATCTATCTATCTATCTATCTATCTATCTATCTATCTATCTATCTATCTATCTATCTATCTATCTATCTATCTGTCTATCTGCCTAGTAATCACTATCAAACCCATGGAGAGGTTTATCGGATTAACTATCATTTCCATTAAAAATTATTTTACTCGAGATTATTGAGTCAGCTCTGAATTAGCAGGCGTTTGAGCTACCGAAATGACAACTTATTAGACTGTCATTGGAACGTGAGGTGGCCACTTGGTTCCTCAAACATCCAGTGGCGTAAGAAATAACTGTTCCAATAGACCATCCAAAATATTGAATACTTCGCTGAACACATACTGCTATCCCCCCACCGTTCCGGTGAATCAGTAGATCATAATGACCATGAAATTTTCCAACTGGGAGACTTCCCATCGCCTGAAATGAACAATAAACACACATTTGTTATTTCATTATCAACCAATATGGCGTCTTGTTCCATACAATGAAGAAGCAGCTTACCATATGACTCTAATTTTACACCTTAATACTCACGAGTTAGTGATGAAAAGTCCTGTTGCTCAATGAACATCAGTTCCGAAACCGTCCCACATACATCAGTGCATAGCACTGATGTCCACCGATTCACTAGTATTATCACCTAAGTTTACTCGTTCAGGTCCAAGGCGTTCAACTTTCAATCGCGGAAAACCACATCACGTGGCCACATATTAACCGGCCCCTCGAGTGCCAACTTTTCAGATGAAACTTTCAGTCATCGTGTAAATCTATTCTTCCTTTTAGTTACTTGTGAACGATTCATATAAATTCGAATTCCTTTTGTACCGCAGCAACGTATGAAATGAATCACAAGGTACCGAAAGCCATTGCTCGGTTATCCCAAAAGTACCACCGGCTAGGCTTGTATATCTAGATGCCTGGACTAGCAACCCTGCTGAATTTCGTCTAATGGACCCGAATTTCATAAACACGTATTTTCATTATTGACCATCACACAACTGCATTCTCGATAAATACACTCATTTTCATAAGTTTGCCTTTCGCAAGTTTTCCAAATTAATCATTTTGTTGTGTTTTTTGACTCACCATTTCACCGTATTTCATCACGTGACTGAACACTGTACTCTTTTTTACCTCCTCGTACTGTTGTTCTAGTGTACGCTTATTTGTGTCTTTCTGCGAGCGGGTGGGAGATAATGACAAAGGGGAGCTAATTGGTGCAGGCAGATCAGGTTACGCAATTTGAAGACCAATGCGCTGGAGTCGAAACCTAGAAAACCATCACTAGAGTTAAGACAACCGAGGTATGCAACGGCACATACATGCACATACAACACATCTTAAGGATTTGATGCCCTATGGTCCTGATTACCATCATTATCATCCCCATCATCTTGAGCAACAAAAGGGGGCAATACTGATGATTCACTGCCGTACAAGTATTCCAAAGGAAATTCCAGGGCTGGCCTACAGCAAGCACACGAAATACCTACCCCTTCGATACCTAGTCGGACAATCTGGCTAGAAACTGACAGCAGGGACGCCATTTACACGTTGATAAATTTTGACCGATGTATTGAGACGAAGGCATTCAGGAGATCCACCACCAGCATCATATTCGTTATCATCATCAGCATCGTTATCATTGTCATACACATCATCACTGTCAGCAACCGTATACAACATCGAAGCTTCCCTGCGTGCATTCAAAATCCACTTGAAGCCTTATTCAAAAGAAAATACTCGAAATATATTGAAGAGAGACTTGGTGCTGGCTTATCACAATCATTCCGATGCGCTTACAGCTCCAGACAATTACTCAGGCCATCTGAACCGAAAATGATAACAAGATCTCCAATAACATCGATTCAAGGACAGTTACGGTGGAATTCAGGCGGCCTCCATCGTAGAGCGCTAATTAAACTGATATCACCCATACATATGATAGTGTCTTTCATAGCCCCCTCACAGGTAAGCACGATTGGTCGGCTAGTGAGAAATTTTGGACATGCAGCTGTTGCTTCAATTATTTCGGGACACCGGACGGCCATGATTGCTGAATTGGCATAAATTTTCTCCACGCTTGAAAACAAAAAAATTGTTTCGGGAATGAAGTGGACTACCACTGGCTGCTGAATACAACCGGGCTACCCATCCACAACTGACAGGCTTATCTGCAACATTTCCTTTAAAACTTACGTATTCCGAATCTAAAACCAGGCATACGAGTATTCGTCCGCTAGACAAACATCGATATGCATGTCATAACAGAAAAGCGCCCAGGATTCTTCAGCTTCGTTGGCTGATGTCGTCGCGTATACTGCAGGTTTAGAGGTTTAGACAACAGATAATATAGGTCAATATCAGAGTTGTGTGAAATAGCGAGGTAAAATATCGGCGAACGGATCCTGTGACTCATAGAATTAATGAAGCTGCAAAACGTCTAAAACTAGCACACAATTCAGAAGGTCGCTGACATTTCCTTGACAGATCATAAGGGTTATCATGCTTCTTGAGGCGAATCAGGTAGACATAGTCGTTGACTCTCCCTAAAACTTAATGAAGGCTTGAATCCGGACTGGGCGGAGCTTGCCAAACACTCTCATGAACGGGATATTTATCTGGGTTTGGTTGCGTTAGCCCGTCAAAATCGAATAAGCGTGTGAACCTATAATCTGCTTTTTCACGGTGAACCCCCTCAAAAAGACACTGACGTGAAAGATCAAAGGTAATCACGCCACAATCATTAGACCTGTAATTTGATGCGTTAGTGTACTTTTTTTTAAAAGACCCACGATCCGTTTATAATTTACAATGAAGGCATCCGCTTGGAATTGTTGCGTGCTGCAAGGGGAGACCAAAATATCACAAGGGTTGTACCGGCTAAACAATGACCGGTTAAAAATGATTTCCTCCCCCCATATGAAACTATCTCAGCAGCCGATGAAAGCTGGATTTTGTGCTATCATCGGCTACACGCGTCTTGCGTATAGACTCAGGGGCTACTTTCATACAAAGATCGCGATGTGTACAAGAAAAATTGAGCATGGAACTTTGTTCTGTTTTACTAATCAACGCTGCTTTAAACCACACCAACCTAGCGAATATACACCCATTTGCCAACGACCAGTTTCACCCTTATTGGGGCTTATCAGTTAGGCGCATTCCCCGGCTTTCCGACAACCTTATATTCTACTTGAAACCAAATTCATCGAAATTAGCGAATATACATTCATTTGCTGTCGATAGATTCTCAGCAATCTTATGAGTAGTACATTGCAATATATATGTGTATCGCGATATTTCCAATATCGTAGCGACTGAAACATGAGCGGCCTGGTGCAGAACACACAGTTGCCTGAGAACATCACAAAAGGGTGATTCAGCTGGGTTCCAGTTGAGTCGCTCTAAATAACCAAATTGGTTCGCTAATTTCCTGTAATTTGTTTTCAAGTAAAACATAATGTTGACGGGGACTGCGCCTACCTGACGAGTCCCAAGAAGAGCGAAACCGGTCGTGGGCTGTCGATGGAATTTCAGCAAACCTGTGAATAGTGCATAAAAACGGTCACATAGTTGATTGATATTATGAATGCTATTTCGCATGATCCGTGCAAAAATCAGCCAGAAATTTACCCTACTTACTACCCATATTTGAAGGAAGAACGTCGCGAAATATAGAGCCCGATTTGCAAGTATCCACGTATAGCACCAATTTGTTGAACATTTGTTTTGAATGCATGTAGGCGAGGGTATCGTTCAACTCCATGGCGTACAGCTGTCGCAAGACAAGAAGAAAATTTCTCGTGAGCTGGAGATGAGCCACTCGAGGAATCAGTCACCAGTGATGTGGATCACTTGATTGAAGAATGGGTGGCGTTATGTCCTGAATTATTGCGGATAAATCAGGCTGTTGGTTGGTCGCTTGTGGCCAAACGGTTGCACGTTGTATCTTTAGGTTCACCACTGAGGATTTCTAATAAGGATGGAACAGTGGTACATTGCTTCTCGGCTTTTCATCAAAGGCTGGTCTATCATACATAAATACATATACTTCAAACTATTTGGGATTCGTGCTGTCGCTCTAAAAGCGAAAAGCAATATGTTGTCTTGTCTGGAGGAATTCAGCTGACGCGTCCTTCGGATGATGTACGCCTCATTAATGACCGTATACGACCAGCTTCCTTGTATCTACGTTCGCTCAACAGTCTGAATGGATCGATCGCAAAATCATGTGAGTCGAACGACATTAATCTTCGTAAAACGAAGTCCATGTGACGGTGTCATTTGAAGCACCTTGATGCGGCCTATCAAACTTGAATCCCCGGGGATGTCACTCTTGAGAGTGACGTACGAACACCGCAGTTTGTGTTCCGTTTTTCGTTTGATGTGTAGAACATCTTGACTGTAAACCTAGTTTTATAAAGAATTACTAATGCCATTGCACCAAAATGTTTACTTAAGCCTCTTAAAACCGTTTACTATTTTGCTTCCAAATAAAAAAATGCTTGCTAAAACCATCGTTACCAAAATTAACTAAACTTATTCCTTTATTTAGGAAGTAAATATGGGAAGTCCCACCATGGCCAGAGTAGAAGACGAACACGTTGTCATTAGGACCGCCGTTATCGGGCAGAAAGTATAAGGTGGTCTTGAGCAGTAGCTTATGGGCTGGCGCTCTCAAACATAGGAAAGCACAAGAAAAGACCCTCGGAAATAGAAGCATAGCGAACACGTCCGTCAGAATATTTTTTGTACCCGCTGCTTTATATAATCACTAGCTAAATTAACTTCGACTTGTCTCCTATTTGCATGGCTACGTGAATACGGGGATGAACATTCGATTCTTTGGGCTGCTGTTGGTGAATTCTTGTAGCGGGTTTGGTTTTCACTGCATGAGGATGTTTAGAAGCAGTTGTTCGCTTCAGCTAGCTTTGTCATCTTGCCGTTGGAACGGTCACACTCAGATGTTTCGAATAAACGCTACCGTTAGCATGATCACGTCTGTTTATTGAAATATCTACATAATATATACACTACTGAGGACAAATATTATATGCAAGGTGATCCCACATTTTGAACATGGATATCCAAGAAGACATACGTTTATATATAAAATTGATCTGAAAATGTTCCGTTGTTGGTCGTTGCTCAAGATGGTGTCCATCTGTTCTCTGGTGGTTGTGATCAGCTTGCAAATGTTTCATCACCAACCGAAGTGACACCATGAGTTAGTGTTTGGTTTGGAAGTTACTCCATACCTGTCTGATATTATACGTCTGTGGCTGGCTGAAGGGAGCATACACTTCTCGAGGTCCAAATGGTCCATTTCGAACTGTGCTGCGTTGTGTCTGGCCTACCTGAATTCGATTGCTGCATTAAGTAGCTTCTGTCTGAAGAAATTTCGTTCATGTTCTGATTGATCGGCTACCAATGTCTAGTGTGTTGCATTCTGGCTTTCCATATTCGATTGGCTCTCATTCCTACTTCTGGTTTCGTTAGTACGTTTTGATTGATTGTTTCTGAATTGCTGTTGTGCTGTAGCCTGATTTTTCGGAGTTTGCTTTCGCGAATGCCCTTTTAGTTAATTAATTTTTTTTTTCGTGCAGATGTATTTTGCATTTTCGATCTCCTATTCTATAGACCATCTCCCTTTCGTTCTCTGTCCCAACTAACAACTGGCGGGATCGGAAAAACTGAATTTGTTCAACTTAGTATTGGAACAGATTTTATCTACCTTTATGTTTATCTACATATTAGATCATTTAATGAACATGGTTTTAGCAGGAATCAAAGCAGACGGTGCAAAAATGGAGGACAAAAAAGATTGGTTCACGAGACCGGGGAATATATACGGAAACAGCTATCGCAGGTCCCTGCACGGAACACCGGTTAATCAGAAAACACGCATAAAGAGCGGCTAATTACGGATTTCGCCACAATTGCAAATCAAACGTGTGCATAAATGGCTGGATGAGAGACCTATGGTTTGCGAGTGAACAAATATTTGCCTCGTTTCCGGGCTTGTTTCCGTATGCCGACGCTTTCCATCTCGCCATGCGCGGGTCAAGAAGGCGTGGGATGAATTTCGAAAGAACAACTGTGACGTTAGCAACCCACATAGGCGAGACAGGTATTCAAAAAGCTAAGTATTATTGGTGAATCGCGATACAGATTTGAGGGTCCAACATTAACCGACAGGGTCGCCAGTGGACTTGGAATTCGATGATCCAAACAACACTGTGAGTTAAAACAACTCCTGAATCCGAGTAAACCAAGATCAACCGACCCCAACTTGTACATGTTCGAGTAGTAATTTGGCCACTCACAACTGCGCATACCTGAATATTTTTGAAAATTCTGTACAGTGGCGACTGGGGCGGATGATTAAATAATAACCCATAGTCAGAAATGGATAAACCGTGTTTCCGCTAAAATGAGACAAACCGTTTTGACTGACTTCTGAGAGGCATACCTACAGAGATTATGTACCATGTTACATACGAGAATACAAAACGAGCAGTTCGTAAATCCGAAGACGGCGACCTGCAAAACTAGAATTCTGGCTGTGATCAGCAAGTGCGTCAATAATATCCACTACCGCGCAAACTCACCTTTTCAGCACCTTCTTCTGGTTGGCTTCAAGTTTATCATCGCCTTTTAATACTTTCACGAAGTTATCCCGTGTGACATCCTGAAACGGGTGAACATGCATGACCAATTATTCTCGTGACAATAGTGTTCCCGACGTTCACTCTCTTCATTTTGGCCTTCCAATTTCACCTTAAGAAGTATTTCAAATCTAAGATATGCCTCCATGTTCACTCATATTTTATTCATGATGAAGGCTCTGTGCCGCAAACTGAATAAATCGATTTTTGCTCTTTTTGTCAAGCAGGGCATTTGGATTTATCCCTCAAGCCTAGCGCTGGTAGTTGAGTTAAAAATGGACTAACTGAAAGCACTAAAAAGAAACCCTCGTCTACGTCAGTAGATAAGGAATGCAACAAACGTGAGAAAAAGCCGCTATCTGGAAGCGCGCATCACTCATCAGCACTCAACTGAATCACAGTTGAATATTTCTTATATATGATGTTCTCTAGAAGAATGTGCTGTCCTGGACGCGCAGCTAGGTTGGGTTGGTGCATCACACGGGATATTACAGGGTATTTCCCGGAGAAACTATTGGCGCAGCGTTGGTCCTCGTGCAATTTTCGTGGGTCGTTTGACAAGAACCCTAGCATATTCGAAAGGCCAAAAGCAGAACGTTGAAATCGGTCGTGGGTTCCCTGAGAGATCTCCAATAATTTATGACAGTGTGCGTACAAATGAATTCATCATTCTGTAATATAATAAAATCGATTATTGTGGCCTGCTGTTTGTATTTTGATCCGCATTTGGCCTTCCAATTTCACCTTAAGAAGTATTTCAAATCTAAGATATGCCTCCATGTTCACTCATATTTTATTCATGATGAAGGCTCTGTGCCGCAAACTGAATAAATCGATTTTTGCTCTTTTTGTCAAGCAGGGCATTTGGATTTATCCCTCAAGCCTAGCGCTGGTAGTTGAGTTAAAAATGGACTAACTGAAAGCACTAAAAAGAAACCCTCGTCTACGTCAGTAGATAAGGAATGCAACAAACGTGAGAAAAAGCCGCTATCTGGAAGCGCGCATCACTCATCAGCACTCAACTGAATCGCAGTTGAATATTTCTTATATATGATGTTCTCTAGAAGAATGTGCTGTCCTGGACGCGCAGCTAGGTTGGGTTGGTGCATCACACGGGATATTACAGGGTATTTCCCGGAGAAACTATTGGCGCAGCGTTGGTCCTCGTGCAATTTTCGTGGGTCGTTTGACAAGAACCCTAGCATATTCGAAAGGCCAAAAGCAGAACGTTGAAATCGGTCGTGGGTTCCCTGAGAGATCTCCAATAATTTATGACAGTGTGCGTACAAATGAATTCATCATTCTGTAATATAATAAAATCGATTATTGTGGCCTGCTGTTTGTATTGTGTTTTGATCCGCAGTGTTATTATACTTGCACCTTGCGTTGCACGGTGAACTGATGCAAGATTTACTTAATTGCTGCGCACTGGAACGCGGACTTACTTTTCCACGGTAGTCTATCACTACACCATTGTACACATCTTCGTGCTGGTATTCATGGAACACTTTGCCTTTAAACGGATTTCTGGAATAAAAGAATGAAAAGTAGCAGTGAGTCCTCTTCTTCCCGACTACATCCGTCTAGGCTTGGAAACCTGGCAGTGTTCCAGCCCTCGTGCAACCATCGTGTGTCATGGCAGCTAGGCGCCTTGAAGATGCTACAGCCGAACGAACAAATAAGGCAATAAACAACTTACGATTTTTACAGTCTGCACGCAAGAACTAATTATTAATTCCTTTAGAAGGTTTTTCTCTTCTCCGGCTGCATTACAAAATGTTAAGATTCCTAGATTGCTTGCTTACTATTTGCTCCAAATCATCAACCTGGTGATGCAACGACATCTCATCTAGATATCAATGTGTTTCATTACATGCCATGGAAACGAGTACTCGAACGAGTACATATCACTAACATCGTCATCACCATCGTCATCATCATCATCAGAATGTGCTGCCTGCATCAGGATTCCATGGTATCTACAGTCATGAAAAGACATCAACCAAAAGAAAATGTGTTAGGACATCTGAAGTTACGCACGAAGTCCCATAATTATATGCAGCTCAAACTCAACAATTATATAGACTGAAAAGACGGCAAGACAATGAGATCTGTTACAGGCAAAAAACGAATCACGTTTTCAACGTTCTATTTGCTAACATATAGCAAAATTTATGCGCGATATTTACTTGGGATTGTTTGCAATATCGTCGTAGGCGAAGGTAATTATATTCTCCGCTGGAACTTTGTTTGCACGCACGACTTTATACGCGTGGTAAACGTCCGCCTGAATGAGAACACAAATGACATGTGAATTAAGGACAACAGACAGATTGAGGAATGGAATGTGAAGAAGGCAAGCACAGTGCGTAAGATCATCCATACTCGGTGGAGTATCAGTTACCAGAACAGTATTTGGATGCATTATCCAAAGAACAGGAAGCATGATTCTACTCTGGAAGGGCTTGTGTGGACCACAATTCAACATTCAGTAAGAACAACGACCTGCACACCGGAGCTGTGCAAACTTGGTATCCCTTGACTTCGAAAATACATCCGAATCTGTCGTTCGCTTGTACACTAGATAAATGGTCACATTGCGGCGAAACTCAGTGGCAATTAGATTTTACCCACTGAATCTTAAGAATGGATACAGACGCACTGATTATGTGTAACATTTTTAATACCATTCTCATATAACCTCATGCGAATGATAGAAGAGCGGAGGAACGAATTTGACCAAAATGGATTTCTATTTGTTTATTCCAGATACACGTTATTTAATCCCACCAAGTAGCATAGATTTATCCGCTCATATTGCCTAGCAATTCCGGTGCTTTCATCGTAACAGCCAATGTTTGTGGTACGCCAGTGGTCTTTGTCGAGGTTTCTGAGACCTGGTTCATACAACGAGTCTATCTAGCCTACGGTACTACGGAGCGCGTGAGCGTTCCTCTAATATAATTGAGCTAGAATGTCAGATCATATAATTAGTTTTGGCTGGCTTCGCACCGGATCACGGAATTGCTTATTTTCGGTAGTCAATTATGACACCCTTTTAGATATCTGCGTGCTCTCAGGCATGCAACACTTTGCATTTGAACGGATTTCTGGAACAAAATAATGAAATTTTGCGTCCTCTCTGAGAAATTTTCATGTAGGTCGAAATGAAGGAAACGAATGTCTCATAAATTCCGTTCGAACTGGGTTATTGTCCTTGTTTCGGAATTTATTTTCATGACGATCTGTGCACTTCCTTTCGCAAGTTCGACTGAATGTTAACTAATAATACTTTATGCAGAATAAATTTAGGTATCCCACGATGATCTCTGTAGAGTGCACAACAATGCAAATGACAAATTTGGTGCGAAAATGTGATTCTTTTAGGTAAATGTACATTGAAACACCACCATCCATATTCCGTGCCCTTGAATGTAGGGCATGGAAAGGGATGGCTCAATAGGCTAGAGCGCGAATTTACCTACCCGAAGGTCCGTAGTTCCATCATTACATCTGCCACCCGACTACTCACCCATTTTTGTGCACTCGGCTAACATATGCATCATGCTCCTTGAACGCTTACAAGTTTAAACCACATCAGGTCAGGTTGCAGTCATGTTCGTGCAAGCACCTCAGACAAGATAGAACACCACTTCCTTCACACCACACACAATGAATTGGCATAAAACTATGCCCAACAAACACTGGCGCGCACAGGACAGGAAGTCAACACAGCTCCGCAAGACAGCTGGGACAACTACGGAACACGTGTAGAGGCTATACTGCAGAGAGGACACGCCCCGCGTCCGGAAATACAACTGATCTAAGAAGATAAGTCACTTTTTGGCTTATTCCACATTCCGCATTGTATCTATTTTTTATCAAGTGCACCTAACTATTGTGTTCATCATATTCTAGTAAGACAGACATTTGTTAGTGCTTTTAACCTTCTGATAATCAATTTAAATACGTCAAAATTAGAGCACTAATAATATACAGAATAAAATGTTACGATTGGACGAGGGTTACATAGGTTTATTGACAGCCAGGGAATTGCACATGCGTACATTAACTAGGCACGGGGTAAAGCAAGATTTAGAAAATGTGGATATCATGAGATGGGGTTTAAGATTCACGCTACTTCAACTGGTGGTAGAGATGATGGAAATCACCAAGCATCCCAGCTTACATAGAATAGCGTGGGTAGAAATTGCAGATATCTGGAGAGCTTTCTTAGATCAGCCGAGATGCCACTGGGCGGTTTACAGGTATCAGGTCTAAAATTACAAAATCCAATTAGAGATAGATCCAATTTCCCCTACCCCCAATCAATGGTCCCGGCACCTTTGATGGATACAGGCTAATGAAACCTGTGAAACACGCAGAGGGGAATTTTCCATTGAGGTGTTTTAGACTGGAAATGCAAGGACGAAACGAAGTCATCCCCCCTACCAAATCTATCGTAAATGATATTCATCCCCACTAACCAAAAAACAGCAAAATCAGACTGAACACCCAGCACTGATCAAGTCGGCTGGTCATGAGTAATCTCACGAATTGGTTCCCTGACTGCCTTAAAACCCAATCAGCACGCTTACTAAATCACTCGGCTTGACGAAGGTTTTTGTCAAATGCGAAGCTTTGTCCAGCAATAAATCCACCGGTTGTTTACCAAACTTCCCCGAAACGATGATTTCTCAATCGGTCTAGAACATTTCCCAATTGATTCGTCACCAAAACTTATTGTCAGCTGCTGGGGGCCAAGATTCATGGAGGGTTAATCTACATGGTCGGCATAGGCAAAGTGTTTGGTCTTCGAAGAGTTTCAGGGTTGACCCTTACTAGAGATTCGTGGAATGCGGTAGTTGTGAGCGCTTCTTGGCTTGGCGGTATGGACTGGCTTTACTAATTTGCGAAATCGCAATTAGAACACTCCCAAATTCTTCATACAACCAGCAGTCTATAAGTAGATCAGAGGAAGAATAATTTTATAGGGTGACTGGAACGTCCTTCTGATAAGTCGTCATTCAAGGGGCCTGTCAACACTATGTGACTATGCGATTTTGTTTCTGTGATTGAAGAATGATTGGCGCTATATCCAGTCTAACCGAGAGATAATCGCAATACTGATCAGCAGTTCTTGGCCCAACTTCTAACTGGTTGTTCAAAAGACGAATTAAAGAACGAAAACAAGATCGACCTAGTTTAGGGTTTCGTCTAATAAAATGCAACAGATTATTTAAAACACAGCTTTTAAGCTTTTTCAACCGTGATAAGAAGGTGAACATAAAAAGCATAAAACGCTGGATTCGAAACACGGTCATTGAGTCCAAACCTCAACCACTTACGTATCCTGGGCTTTTAAGACAATTAAATTTTTTTACGAATGAGATGATGTTTGAGCTTGTTCCTGAGGAGAGACTGACAAGAACGCAGATGAAATTGGTTACTAAACTTGCAACGCAACGTCTCCAACTTGAGTTAGTTTCAAAGGAGACTACTGAAAATCTGCGACCGTGGCGCGAGGTTTTATGGTTACGAATAAATCCGATTTTTAAAACTCTACGCAAAACTTCGCCATTTTCAAACTAGGGTCTCGTGAAATTTTGTATCTAACTACGGGTCGCTGGTGGTTACTGTTCACCCAGATGTCGCGACTTTGGTGGCGTTTATTTGTGTAAATTTGCCACCTCTCTGGAAGATGCTGCAAGTTTATGTGAGAATGGCTTTTCTCTGGACGTGTCTTTTTCGTTCTGTGAATTTGATAACAGCTTGTGTTTGTTGCGCTGGGTATCAAACCATCAACCGAATCACTGTAACCTACTCAGCATGTTTGAAGAGGTGAACCGTTAGATGAATTGGGGTATTCAGTTTCGTATTTATCTGGTTTTCAAAAGTTTCCGGAATTACGTCGGTGATTATGGCAAGATAAGTTATCACGATGCTTTTTGTGTGTTAATTTTTTTTCATATGGCATTGGTTGAGTATCGACTATCTGTCGGAGATTCGACGTGCGAAAATGGCCGTGTTCCTGTCAATTGGTAGCTGCGGTAGTATGTGGTTAGCTCGTCGGGGTAAAAATAAGTCCACACTGAACACGTTGCCACCGGCATTTTGCCAGTGAAGATTTCTGTGTGTTGTTCTGTGTCTTGATATGCAATATGTTCTGATTTCCATTCGTTTTCCAGGCTCCCTGAAGAGTTGCCCGCGTTATCGATTTAGGAACGATTATTGTTTTTTTGACGTGGCACCGCAAGAAAAAACAAACTTACTTGTGAAATCACACTGCTGGATCGTGCATCCTATAAGCCTTAAAATGGCGTGAGCAGATCACGCCAGTTTGCACAATTTGACGTCATCCTCTGTCCCCTGCCCCATACATTATACAGTGGCTCGGAAATGAAATAGTAGACAAAGTTCAATGACTTGATGAACATCGGTGATGAGGTGAACTACGGACTATATGATTATGGAGAAGTTTTTGTTTGGTGACAGGACTTGTTCGTAACAATCTTCACATTTATGCTAGATGTGAAAAACTGCGCGAATGTCATTTCTGCCTCATATCCTCATTCGCTTAGAAAATCCAAAATTGATAAGCTTATCCATCAAAACTACACACATTCAGTTGCTAATTAAATCATTTGCTTACTTCTCAGAAGACACTGTGTTCTACGCTGAGATGGTATGAAACTCCATGAACGTGAACACATTCCATGATAAGCGAGCTCTTATGCGTTTCAGAAAATGTTGGTAAACAATCGGTAGGCTTAGTCGGGCAACGTTTCGCTTCCTACACAAAGGCTTCATCAGGACAACTGAGTAGGTCACCAAATTGGCCAGGTTATATGACAGATGGAGAAGCGATCAGCGAGTATCATTCAGATCGTCACACTAGATCATTATTGAGCATGATTTAAGGCTCATGTCGGTTAGCGTGTTTGTCAAAACCCTTACTTTGGTGGATTGGGGGAGTCTCAGATAAATTTCGATTCGGTATGGCTTGTTATTCTTCCACTTCACGGTGCTTTAGTTGATGATTCACCTCGGTTGACAACGATAGATTTTTCTTTGTCTTCATGGGGTTTCGTGTGCGCCGAGTATTTAGTTTGAGCGTGTGGGTTTGAGTCAAGTGGAATTCAGATGTTAGATGCTCTTCCCCCGCACACCAACACATTTCAGCTCGACTGATCCAAAACCGTTTCACACCAGGTTACCAGTTCCACGCCTTCTATTCTGTTAACATTGTAATGCTTGGCAATTTCTACCGCGTCGGCTATCAGTCCTTGTGACTTGGACCATAGTCCTCGCTTCAAACCCTCAACATTTTTTAAATCTATTCTGTGTCCCATCTATTCTGTGTCCAGTGAGTGCTCCGCAATTGCCGAGTCTTTCAGTAACGCTTGGTATTCATCCGCATTTCTT